CCACGCCCCCTTTACAACAGGCCCCCTTTAAGTCAGACCCCTTTAAGCCACGCCTCCTTTAAACGAGGTCTCCTTTAAGCCACGCCCCTTTAAAACCACGCCCCCCACCGAACCCACAGCCCCAACCAATCCCGCGGCCCTATCACTGCGCAGGCGCATTGACGCTGTGCTATCCAAACGCGCATGCGCACAGCAGTAGCGGCGGCGGTCTAGCCATACACACGCGCTCATAAGAGTTGCGAGCGCCACCTGGCGAGCAGGAGGAACAATGGCCGGCCGCACCGGTGCGAGAGGAACTGGTGCACGTGGACCCCGTAACTCAGAGTGGAGACCGAACATCCCGAACTGGAGACCCCATAACTTAAACTGGAGACCCCATAGCCCAACATGGAGACCCCATATCCCTAAGTGGAGACCACATAACTTGGACAGGGGATCCCATATCCCAAACTGGAGACCCCAAACTCAGACTTCAGATCCCATATCAAAACGTGGAGACCCCATAACTCAGACTGGAGACCCCATATCCCAACGTGGAGACCCAATATCCCAACGTGGAGACCCCATACCCCAGACTGGAGACCAGGTATCCCGAACTGGAGACCCCAGACTCAAACTTCAGATCCCATATCCCAACGTGGAGACCCCATAACTTAAACTGGAGACCCCATATCCCAACGTGGAGAGCCCACAACTTAAAATGGAGACCCCATATCCCAAACTGGGGACTCCATAGCTCAAACTTTGGACCCCAAATCCCAATGTGAAGACCCCAAACTCGGACTTCAGACCCCTTATCCCAATGTGGAGACCCCACATTCCAAAATGGCAACCCCATAACTCAAACTTGAGACCCCACATCCCAAATTGTGGACCCTAAAATTCAAACTTGAGACCCCATAAGTAAAACTTAAGACCCCATATCCCAAACTGGAGACCCCACATCCCAACGTGGAGACCCCATAACTTGGACTGGGGATCCCATAACCCAAACTGAAGATCCCATAACTTAAACTGGAGACCCCACATCCCAACATGGAGACTCCATAGCTCAGACTGGAGACCCCAAACTCAAACTTCAGACCCCACATCCCAAACTGGAGGCCCCATATACCAAAGTCGAGACCCCAGATTCAAACTTCAGATCCCATACTCCAAACTAGAGACCCCACATCCCAGACTGGAGACCCTAAACTCAGACTTTGGACACCACATCCCGATGTGGAGACCCCATAACTCAGGCTGGACATCCCACATCCCAAACTCAAGCCCCCACATCCCAAGCTGGAGACCCCATATCCCAAACTAGAGACCCCAAACTCAGACTTCAGATCCCATATCCCAATGTGGAGACCCCATATCCCAGACTGGAGACCCCGTATCCCAAAATGGAGACCCCATATCCCAAAGTGGAGACCCCATAACTCGGACTGGGGATCCCATATCCCAAACTGGAGACCCCATATCTGAAAGTGGGGACCCATCTCCCAAACTGGAGACCCCATAACTTAAACTTGAGACCCCATAGCCTAAACTTGAGACCCCACACCCCGGACTGGAGACCCCACATCCCAAAGTGGAGACGCCGCACCCCACTGGAAAACAAGAGAAACCCTTTAATTAATCACTCTGTATGGGACAGAAGGTTAAAAAGTGGCTGAAGAGGACCGGGGGGGGGGGGAAGGGCGGTTTTTTTTTTGGGGGGGGGGGGGGGGGATTGGGGGTCAGTCCCTTAAAGTGCCGTTATCAGCAGTGAGGCTCAGAGCGCCCCCTACAGGCGGGGTGGGGAATTGCATTGATCTGCCGCCGCTCGTTGATTCCTTCCTTCATCGATTGCTGCGCTCATTCATTCATTCATTCATTCATTCATTCATTCATCGATTCCTTCGCTCATTCATAAATCGGGGCTCGGGGGGCTCCGGATCCGGGATTGTTTGGG